CCTTCCCTGTGGGCGCAGCTTTCTTCCTGAACAAACTCTGAAGACGAGGGACATGTCTGTCTAACTCAGAATAGAAGTGGTTCTTCAGGTTGATGTTTGTGATTCTGTGAAACTCTGCACAAATCTGTAAAATAAAAATGTGACATTGAAGTGCATTTGTATCTCAAAAGAAAAAGGAAAATGAAGTTGTAAAACATTACATTACAAAACGTGTTTAAACATTATGTACTGTCGCATTATAAATGTCAAAACTTTACATTTGTTAAATGCTTGTCAGACTAAGTGACTGATGTTGAGATCCCTACACTTCCCTATCACATACAAAGAAAAAAACTCACCTGTGACTCCATCTTTAGGGCAGGCCAGCGCTCCAGGATCTCTCCAACAGGCAAGTCATCATTGATGACCTCTTTGCATCGCAGGGAAAAGGTGGTCTGCATCAACTTTGCAATCAGAGGGAGGTTTTTGTCAGTCCTTATAACTTCATTACAATCTGGAGTCTCTGTCGCTCAAGGCTTGAACCATCTTCTCCTTTTGGAAAGTTGGGGAGAAAATTCACTTCTGCCCTTTTTGGTCTCTTTATGTCAGTGTGGGGAGATTGTTTGTCAGGGTTGTTTCTGCTTCTCTTTCCAGAATTTACAGCTACCTCACTATATCCTGCCGACTCAACTTAGTGCAGAAGTTACCTCTTAAACTTCAGACTATTTTTCCAACCATACCATCCTGTCTGCGTTCCTGGTTCTTTAAGACAAGCATGGGTGGTGACAAGCGCTTCTGCAACCACTGAATGTCTTTATCACTGGGATATGCTTTAAAGCTATGCATTTTGGATGCAAGGGTTTCAAGAATGTCATGCTTCTGTCCCCTTGATAACTTCAGGGTTTTCCCTGTTCTCTCATGATTCAAATTTCCCTCAACAAGTATGAGTTCTACTTCATAAGTAAAGCTGGCACTGGACAAACATCCGGCATCTCTGGGTCCTTTCTGGGTCATTGCATGAGGCAATATTATTGTGTCATCAGATGCAATTGAACTGGCATCACTCTGAGATCTTACAAGTTTAAGTACTGCTTCTGTGGAAGCTCTTCAATGTCTATAAGGGAACATAACTGCCGTCAAGTCTGGATCTTCATATGATAAGCAAAAATCAAAGTCTATCTTAAACTTTTCTTTTGTCATTTTTTCAAGCTCATTCACAGATTCTGGAGGTGAAGCCAAAGTCATCTTCCTGACAATGTCCATGGAAGTATGTATGTGAAGATTACCTATTAAAACGAAGAGAGGGGAGAGAACGGATTAACTAATAGCATTCAACAATGCATACACAATAGGTATTTGTGTGAAACAGTTATAGACAGATATTATTCACCTAAAAGCTGGGGTTTGAAAAACATTACAGTTGTAGCAGGTAAGTCTTTCTAGGCTTGTAATGTTAGTAAACGTAACTGGCATATCAAATTTTAGTTTACCTGTCTTACTTTGCTACACACTGTTCCATGAGGCCATATGGTTCATACGGAGCAACAGAAACACCGCGCACAATGCGGTTTTTTTTTTTCACACCAGGCTTTATTTTTGATAGTTTACCTACCTATCAAAAATGTCTAACAAATGATAGCACTAATAAACTACTACAAGACCTCTTTTAAAAACGTTAACGGCTTGTCTGTACAGAAACATGCATGTGGAGGTCGAGAAACAAAAGCAGTCCAGTAACATTTCCAGACAAATTTTAAAGCAAGACTTAGTTTATACTTGAAAAGTTAAAGAAAGTTAAAGAAAGAAGTTAAGCCAGTTATATTTTTTCAAATGTTTTCACATTAAATAGTGCAAACTGCATTAATTAATAGGCTAACTTTGCCACAAAAGTACAACAGAAAACAGTATTCACTCTTCATACTAAATGCATGAAATAGCTGCGGACATGAGAACTATTTCATTAAATGAAGAAACAATATCAAAATGTGATAAAATAAGTTATTACTCACCAGATTAGCTCAAATATAGCACCAATGCTACGGCAGTCAGCGCATTCAGCAGAGTAGAGACAGAAAACTCCTGCATGTCCGAACAAAAGTCCTTCAAAAGTCTGCGATTTGCTCCACAAATAATATCTATTGTCTGTGTCCAAATTGTTCTCAACTTGTAAAGTTCACTCCGCTTAGCTGGCTCATTCTTAGCGACTCGATGCGAGAGCAAACATGGCGGTGAGAGCACGTACGCACGTGACGCGTGACGTCATGCAGAGCAGATCAAACAATTTGAGAACAATTATGAAAAATAATCAAATTGGTTGAGCTCTGTTTACTTCAAACTAAAAACGCGTTCTAATAACTTAGAAAATAGAGTTGAAATAACTATTTTGAATTTCCGAGTTCACACAACCCAATTTTTTTAACATGCTTTTACTGTTCGGTCTTACAGTGTAGTCTGTTCCTTAATTGATTGTGGTAGGAAGGAAAAGGGTTGTTTTTTTGAAACAACGATTAACTTCAATTCATTTGTAGTTTGACTTTTATCCCCAGTTACGGCTGCAACCTTCCTGGTGTTACAGTCTGAGTGAGTGTCACGCCAGCTGCACACAAGTTGATGATTTTTCAGTGAAATTCATTGTCCTGGTCTGGTCTCCTTCTTGTCCTGGTCTTGTCTCCTTCTTGTCCTGGTCTTGTCTCCTTCTTGTCCTGGTCTTGTCTCCTTCTTGTCCTGCCTTGGTCTTGATCTTATCTCGGTCTCTGAGCACTCTGGTCTCAGCTAGTCATGCTGGCTATCATGGGTTTTGTTCATTATTACCGACTATTGTAGAGAGAATAAAGCACAAAACAAGTTACTGTCATTTGGGAATTTATATAAATATTTATATAAATGATGAAAATGATATCGTTTGAAGTTCTGTGATCACTGATGACGCTCATCAAACATATTGAGGAGCTCAGTCTGAGTTTAAAACAGTGTTTATGTCTCATCATGATGTGTTTTTACTCGTCCTTTGTAAAGTTATCATGGAGAAACTACATTTCTTAATGTAGTCACTGGCTCCATTATGATGAAGTATCTTAAGACAGTTTGTGATAAAGAAAAGAAAAGTCGTTTTAACAACTTTGAAAAAAAGACAAAAAGACAAAAAGTGTATTTCTCATTGATTTAATGAACAGATTATCAGGAAACAATACACACACATATGAAGCAACAAGCTAATATTTATTCTTTAGAAACATGAAATAAAGAGAGAGAGAGAAAGGTGGCACAGTGAGAGCAGTATCACAGTAAAACCAGCAGCAGAGTCCCAGTGAGTCATTACTGGGAACACTGGTCTCTACTCAGACTCTCTGAGACTGGAGCCTGGGCGCCCTGGGTGGCCTCACAGGTCACAGAGCCACCTTCCTCCACTGGTCTGCAGAGAGCTCAGGGTGCTGCTCCAGCTGTAGAGAGCGTCCTTCTCCAGCACCGCAGGGCTCCTGCTCTCCTCCCAGCTGCTGCTGCTGCTGCCGTCCACCTTCCAGGCCAGACTCCAGCCTGAGGGGAAGCCCTTGTTGGCCAGGCCACATGAGCGTGGCCTTCCCCTGCCTCCAGCTCCTCATTGGAGGGGGCAGCACCGTCAGGGTGGGACGCACATCACCTATAGGAGACACCAATCAGATTAGAGGACAGGGAGCACACAGCTGTCAATCAACACCAACACCCTATAGGACACCTTTAATGTCTGAGAGTGATTTTTCTTTTTAGGGTTTCTGTCAGATGTTTCTTTCTGCTCCACCGGTCACTCACTCACACATTGTTTCACTTCCCTTTAAGAAGCCTCTCATGCACATCAGCACACAGAGAGAGAATCACACAGAACGACCTGAAATATATTTAAACTACATCTGAATCCAATTTAAAACATTACAAACATTCCCCATCAAAATAATCCAAAAACTTTGCAACACATTATTTAAAACAGTTTGTAGGTAAACAAACTAAAACAGAATCAACTGAACACAATCAATGTTCTTCAAATGAATTCTAATCAGAAAAATAAGGTATCAGAAAATACCTTAAAGAGTTGTCAGAAAATGAATCTGAGGAAAACATTTAAAACACCTCTCTTTGTTAAACATCAACTTGTTTATGTTTCAGTGTGACAGAAATCAAACTGTCCTGAGTGAACCTCACGGTAAAGCAGGACCGATAAAACATGATAAGAGTTCATTAGAGTTAGAGTTTAACGATGACAAATAAACAGAGAGACAGCTGCTGAACACAAACACATGAAGATATATATTAGACATACATATAAATAATATCTGAATAAATCTACTTTGTAGTTTTGTCAGTGTTGAATTGCAGTAAGCTGATTTGATATCTCTCTATGCTGATGATATCACGCTTTATTTAACAGGTTTAAATATTTCTTTGAGCTAAAACACATTCATTTAGATGTTTTCCTCTCTTTTCTTTTGATAAACATAAACCACTAGACAATTTAAAATCCTGGTCATTAACATTTTCTGTAAAGAAGCTGATTTGATGATTTTCATTCAGTTGTTTCAGTCATTAAGGCGTCCATATCGATTGTTAGAAAAACCTTGTGAATAGAACATTATTTAGCAGCTGTCTTTGAGGTTGTCAAAGTGTGATTTATGTGGATCAAAATAATAAATCTGTATTTTAACATTAGGTTTAATATTCATACAGAAACTTACTTCCAACATCCAGTCTGGTTCCTCCACAAAAGTCCACCACAGTGGTACAAAGTCATTGAGCGGCCGTACAAACCTCTCACTGTAGAGACACACGGCTCTCTGACTTTAACACACTGAACTCAAACTACCACAACTCCACATGTCACCTTACATGAGAGTGAAAAATCATCTATTTCCCAACAATAAAAACTCTGGCTTCAACATTTTACCTTCATTTAAATTCAGTCTGTGTTTCTGTTTTAAACTGAAATCCTTTAAAGTCAAATGTTGTCTTTATTCTTTCTAAAACAAACGATTTAAAAGTTAAAGGTCAGTATT